GGTTATGAAGAACTGCTTTAGTTTCAATGGGACAACAAATTAAGAGGTTCTTCCATCTCTTTGAAGATATATACACACCTGGTATCTGTGGTTTAGCACAGGCTAAGGAGATGCTCTGGGGCCTTGTTTATGCAGTAGAATTCCGTACTCACGCCACCAGTGGTTACTGGATATAGCAGAGAGAGGAACCTTGCATAAACAAACTTCTTTCAACCTCTTCGCTCAAAGCGGATGTATTTACATTAGATTTTGACAGTGGGGGCTTGAGCACATAAGAACAATTCAGTGCAAGCTGTGTTAAGAGCCATGAGAACATTTAGAAAAGTCCTGAGTGTAGATGAGGGACTTTCCTTTTCACTATCCATATCATATCTTCAACACGGGCAACATTACTCTAGAATATCCCAGTCTTCAAAACTGAAAAGTGGCTGGATTCTTTGTAAATCAGTATTCTGCTTATAGTTGTGATATAAATGATTGTTTACAGTTGTTGAAGCTTTTTCATCAAATACAGAAATTGTGCAGCTGAGTCAGGAGCTGTTACCTTTTCCTTTACCTTCTTTCTTCTCATGGAAAGACATAAAAGACAAGTTTGGACTTTCTTTAATACTAGGGTCCAGAGATTCACATTATTCATATAAACTGATCCTGTATTGATTTTCTCTGCTTTCTTTCCAATCACAGGGCAGGCTTTTCCATGTTCAGTAGCCAGCTTTCTCCTGCAAGTGTCCTGAGGTGCGGTCTAGGTGTGTTCAAATCTAGCTTAGTCATTCATCCATCACCTTGTCATTAGCATGGCGTCTGTATTTAATTGGGCTTCCTTCCTTCCTTCATCAGAAATCAGTTTTTATATACCATGAAAACTGCAGCCCATTATTAAAAGTTAGCTCTAAGTGAGATTCTTGGCTCTTATTTATACAAGCAGTGGTGAAAATAGTATCTCAAGTACTTTTTCAGACAAGTGCTCTGCATGAAGAACACATAGTGTGTGAGTCCAGTATACTGTCTCAAAGCCTTCTATTTCTCAAGATTTAGTTTATAAGCAGTTTATTTAAGAAGGCTTTTTTGCAATCTGTTGAGTTGCTTGATAGGTCATAATCATTAACAACTTTCACTGGTTGCATCTTTGCCTGCCAGAAAATGTTGTTGAGATACTGTTGTGGCTAGTATTTCTATTGTGCTTAGATGGAGTGCTTGAGATCAGCACTCTATCTGTTTTCTGTATAGTAAGGTTTGGTTCTTCCCTTAAAATGCTTGCATTTTGAAGGGAAAATGAGAGAAAATTATATCCTAGTTTAGAAATGAAGACACGAGATGATGTATTTGGGGGTCTGGAGCTTCTGGTGGACATCAAATTGACCATGAGCCAGCAGCAAGCTCTTGCAGGAAACCCAGCCAACACCATCTTGAGCTGCATTATGAGCATTGCCAGCAGGTCAAGGCAAGTGATCCTTTCTCTCTACTCATCCCTGGTGTACGCACCTGGAGTGCTGCATCCAGTGCTGGGCTCCCCAATGCAAGAAGGACATAGGTGACTAGAGTAAAGTGCCACAAAGGTGATTGACAGACTGTAGCATCTAACGTATGAGGAAAGGCTGAGAGAGCTGGAACTGTCTAGCCCTGAGAAGAAAAGGCCTGTGGGGTTCTTAGCAACGTGTACAGATACCTGATTTTTGATGGGAGGAGTAAAGAAAGAAATAACTTCCCAGTGGCATACACTGACAGGACAAGGGGCAATGAGCACAAATCAAAACCAAGAAATTCCATTTAGATGTAGAGAAAACCTGTTTTAGTGTCAGTGTCGTCAAACACTGAAACAAGCTTCTCTGAGAGATTGTGGAGTCTCCAATGCTGGAGAATGAAACAAAACCTGACTGGACACTGTCCTGAGCAACTCGCTGTAGCTGACCTTGCTTTGAGCAAGGGGTTGGACTACACTGTCTCCAGAGTTCCATTCTATGCTTCTGTCATTCTGCACCCACCAGCTTGCTCCGGCAGTAGCTGGAGTTTATTGTAGTGAGCAGAGCTGAGTGCAGGATAGCAGGCTATCTGATCTGACCAGCTGAACTTGGCACACAGTCAGAGAGGTCCAGTCCCCACATCCCAGATCACAAGATAGTAAGCTGTTCTAAAGACTTGCTCTATTTAACATCCAAGTTCCTAGGCTTCCACCCCCTGTCCCCAGGCCATACTTGTAACTGGGATCGCCTGCATGCAATGGCATCCCAGCCGCATTCCTTCTTCCCTGGGCGCAGGGCCATGCAAGTGGCCCAGGAGTCCCTATCACAGCTCTTGCTGCCAGCGGATTCCCCATGTGGGAGTGGATAGGCATATTTATGGCAGCGTTTGCTAATGTAGCAAAACTGTTTTAAGCCTTGCAACTATTAGAATCATCAGGGGCTTCAACTGGAGAGAGTTAAGCCCAATGGATATGTAGGAGACAAGCAGGCTAGGTCACAAAAATTCAGATTGTCTCAGTGTGTCAAGCCTTGTCCTCCTACCTTAGTGGCAGTAATGCTATAGTCACTGGAAATTATGTCCAAGATATTTCTCTGTAGTTAGTGCTTCTGATGGCTCTCTCGTTCACAAAATGGTAGATTTGGGCAACTAAGATGTGTATGAATGTTTGATATTAAGAAACAGTAGGTTCAGTTTAAGGAAAATTGGTTTGAATCTAACCAGGGCAATCAGATAGTAATGAATAATAAAAAGTCACGTGTGAAACATATATTCAGCAAAGTTAGGTGTCCAGTAAAACTAGTTTCAACATTGTTTGCACTACCTAATCTCTAAAATTATAATGTGTGAGTCACAGCCCTTAGATGATCTTAACCTTTACTAGAGGATACCCTGCTTTGTGTTCAGCAGCATAAACAACTGAGCAAGGACCTGTGAAGACCTGGTGAATACAACAGGACCCTTTTGACTGTGCTGTAAGTAATGTGGGTTTTTTTCTGTGGAAAAATTGTCAAATGTTATTTGCAGAACCACAGTTTCTGAATAATCAATTGAGAAATTACCGTGTTCATATTTAAGTTGCTATGTAAAGATTTTTGTATCGTTTTATTACAGTTTTGGTTTTTTAAACAATAAAAAAAGGATAAGTTATCTGTGAGATAGTAATGTTTGTATAGCATAACTCTCTGTAGGAAAACTACATCTATAAATCTTTCAGACAGTTAAATGAAGTAAATGATAATAACAAATATAGGCATGAAATGAAATGGAAGTGGAGATTTAAGGACTGCTCGCTAAAGCTTCTAGAGAGTTTAGTAAAAAAGAAACTGTGGACAGAGATAAAGGCTAAAAGAATTAGAATCAGAGTGATGGTGCAGCAAGTCACAAATAAATCAAAGAGCTCAAATTTAAGTGTGTTCTAAATATGAAAGTGAACTGTCTGAAAGTGGTTTGTCATGAGGCTCAGGCCTTTCTTAGAGATAGTAGTATTGCTATAAACATGATATTCAAAGTGTATGAACTAGGGAGTATTTATAACATATGTTATTAAAGCAGAGATCAGCGTTCTAAATTCTTGGAGAACCAAGACACTGGAAATCGGAGAACACAAATGCAGGGTCACAGTGGGAGCTGATAAGGAATCAATGATTTTACAAGGCATGAGAGTCTGAATAACATTTCTCATTGCAAGTCAGAAATCTGAGATATTTTTCCCCTTTGAAAATCCTTACATTTTATAATAAAGTAGAGAGTACTTCACTATATAAAAGAACTGTCTAAGAATCTAAGATACCATAGGAGGACGTTCTGGATTTGCAGATATTCCACATCCTTACTTCCCTCTGTCTGTTGACAAAAGTTGTCAAACCAAGTGTGGTACAGTATTAGATTCTAGAGTTAAAAGTATTGCCACAGATGTGGAATGGATGGTTTCCATGCTGCTCTGGAAAAGGCTTTCCTGTTCTATTGGTATCTTTCAGTATCTTTGTTCCTCTAGAACACACTTATTCATCTTCATATTTCACTGTTGCAGCCTTCTCTGCCAAAATCACCCTTTGCTATCTTTCTGATGATAAACACCATGATTGTTCTAGAGTATCCTCTAATTAATTTTTTTTTATTTGTAGGTGATTTAATTCAGTCACTGCAGTGGATGTACCTTTGCATGCAGCAGGCAGCCTTGTTTCCATCTGCTGTTCCGTGTACATACACATTTTCCCTTTCTTAATAAGAAACACTGTATTTTCAGGATCTTGATAATGTCTTAATTGCTCAAAGCTTATTTCTCCCTTTTGTTAGTTATGTGGAAGATTTTTTTTTAAAGTGTGCTCGTTGTTCAAGCTTTATGGAATCACTGTAAATGTTCGTCACTTCCTCATTAACAAGTGCATTTACTTTCTCTCTGGTGTCTGCCTATATATTTACAGGCAGACAATTAAACAATGTATAATATTTGAATTCTCACAATGGAGGAATATTGTGCTTTTCTTCTGCTTTGATTTTTCATCTTGCTAAATTTAACTGACGAGCCTTGACTGACTCCCTTGCTTTCTGCTCTATAGACCTGTACTTTTGACTTAGAGCTTTCTGTCACTTAAAGTCACATTAAAAACAGAACACTGGAAACAAAACAGTTTCAAAGGAATTGTAGCCTAACCTTAATGAGGGCGTCTTTGGTATTACTTCATCCCTCTTTGACTTTAATTTTTATTCTTTCATAACTTCTCCAGTAGATTAAGTAATTTTCCAGAGTCTGCTTCCTTGAAATAGAAAGCTGGTATCCCTGAATTCAAATGGCTTGGAATCGCTGGTACCAAGCCAGCTCTGTACAGTGAAGGGATTGACTTATTGCTAAGCACAAGGTAAAAGGATTTGTAAGCGAAATGTCATTTTTCTTTTCTTCTTTTACAGCATTATAAATCATGAAGATGTTGTTTTTCCTGTGTGTTTTAATTTTTGGGATTCATTCCAACAGTTATTGCTATCAGCCTAATCACCAAGGTCTAAGAAACCAAAATCAAAGAGGCCAAGAAAACCAAAACATGCTACAGCAGACTGTAGGGAACAGTGTTTGTCGGTTTGCATGTTGTTTCTACAAAGAGATTTCTTCTCGTGAAAACAGCGGGAATATTTTCTTCTCTCCTTTGAGCATCTCTACTGCCTTTGCAATGCTGACTCTGGGTGCCAGATCAGACACTCTGACACAGATTCTTAGGGTCCTTAGCTTTAATCCACGTGATATTTCTGAAAATGAAATACATGAAGGTTATCGTCAACTCATGCAAATGGTAAACAGAAAGAATGAGGGGTTACAGCTGAATATGGGAAATGTCCTGTTTGTTCTTGAACAACTGAAGCCACAAGATAAATTTTTAAGTAATCTCAGAAACTTCTATGAAGGAGAAGCTTATCCAATGAACTTCAAGAGGGCTGATCAAGCCCAGATAAAGATCAACGAATACGTAGCAGAAAGAACCCACGGGAAAATCAAGGACCTCATAAATAACCTTGATCCACTTACTGAAATTCTCCTAATTAGCTATATTTATTTTAACGGTAAGATATACATATCATATTCTCTTACTTTATACATTGTTTCCTCAGGTCAGTCTTGGATTTCATTACATTTTTTTTGCAATATGGTTTTGCAGATGGACTCATATCTTGTTTTCCATTTGGTCCTCACTTTTAGTTACATTTAATTATAAATAAAGCTATTGGAAGTTATGTTCTGCTTGACACTGATGATAATTCCTAGCAAAACTTGTGGCAATTTTTCCTTTATCTTTTAATATATATATTTCTTTCCTG